CTGGGCCCCCAGCCCCGAAAGCCCCGGCGTACACGCAACTGCTCAGCCCCTGCAGCTGCAGAGCCCTTCTCCTCCTCGACATCCCCCCAGAGGCTGGGAAAGAAACTTCCTTGAAAGTTACCACAGGCAGCAGGACTGTGCTCTTCCCTGAGCCCGACAACATGGCTGCCTCGCCAGCTGCGCCTTCTCTCCCACAGCCGCAGCAGGGGCTGGAGCCCGGCAAGGGGCAGGGGCCCTGCTGCGGCCTGTGTGAGCCGTGGGGGTCCAGGGCTGCGCAGCGCGGGGAAGCCTGGGCCCGTCATTTCTACACCGGGCTCGGCTGCCCCTGGCTCCCACGGGGGCTTCTGCTCTAGAGCTCCCGGGACAACGCAGCAGGGCTCCCCTGTGGGGTTGAAATGCTGACAGCCTGGCTGTACCACAGGCGGCTCCTATTTAATATTACTATTTATGGCAACAGAGCCCGCATTAATGGCCTTTGCACATGGGATATAGGAACCATAATGCCAGCTGTGGCAACCGAATCATGTCAGCTTGTCCTACCTGTTGGAGAGCATCACCGGGCATTGCTGTGTTATGCAGTATATCCTCTCCCCCAGGTATACTGCATATTTTTCAGGCTTGGTACCAGTCATGTTAGGAAGCTGGGAAGAAGGTAGTTGTTCTAGTTGTGTTTGTTTTTAAATTGCATGTTAAATAGGCTTTCTGGATAAGAAAAAATTGCATATTAGGTTATTATGCGTGCTTGGAGCGGTGTTAGGTCTTTACATACTTCTTCACTCCTAAGAAAAGCGGTTGTTTGCTTTAAGAAAAATAAAATGTTTCTTAAATGCTGTAGTACGCGGTGTCATCGCTTATCAGATATTCTGTCTGGTTTTTGTTTAAGAAATAGTTTGAGCAGTCAGAACTCAGGTCTCCTTGCCAGGCGAATGGCCTAACCACTAGCTTATAGAGTCATGCTGCCTGCTATGTACTGTCCTGCTTTCAGGCCCTATAAATCTTTTAATAGTTTTTGCACAGTAGCAGAGCTTCAACAGGTTGGAATAGTCTCTACTCTTGTGATTAGGGCAAAGATTGTGGGCAACTGAAGATGTGGGTTTGAATCCTGTCAGGCAGAGAAAGGACTTGAACTAGAAGAGAGTGGCCTGTGTCAGCTACAACTATGTTTTGCAAGGATCCAGTCCTGTTGGTATATGTGAACCGTGATTTTAGATTGCCTACTAGACAAGCAGAGGAATACCTTGTTTTTGGCTTCTGTAGGGGCTTGGGTATAAGCGGTCAAGACTGAGGCAGTTCTAGACTCATGCTGTGGCATAACTAGGTGTGGATTTTAAACGTAAAAAAAGTAAGGTGTCTCTGAAGGTTGGGTGCATCCAGGATTAGGTGGCAACTAAGCAATGGTTTTCTGGATTGAAATTTTAGACCTATGTGCCTATGTTTTGCCTAAACCTAAGTCCTTTATTAGATCTGGCCCTGAATGTTTAAGGATGTTTAAGGTCCTGGGGTCACATATGTAATATAGGCCAGTGCTATGATTAAATAGGATTTACTGTTGATTCCATCATCATTCAGTTCATGAATTATGCACCATTTCTCTACCTTGTATCTTTCCTTCAATAGTAGAAGCACATAATTAGGACCTGAGGATCAATGGAGAATTCTTGTCAATCGTGAACACTGCAACAGAGGCCTAAAATATATGAGGTCCTCTGAATATCAAAACCAACACTGAAACTACCTTGTACACATAATAATCAAACAGACCTGAGGTCTTGTGAATGTTGTGGAATGGACAAAATACTGTAGCTGGTGGGAGAACTGCTACCCCTCACATAAATAGGGAAAAAGCAGTTAATGTTCTTTTGTGAAACTACAGTAGCCTCCAAGTCAAGTCACAAGTCACCACCCAAGGAATAGGAAAGGCCACTCAGGAATTTGACCTTTGTGAGTAAAGAGGCATTGCTGATTGTTATTTTTTGGTACTGATGTGGGTGAGGAAAGAGAGTCAAGAGAACTGCAGAAACATACACAGGAAAAAATTAAGGGAGAACCTGATGTAGGAGCATGCACTTGGGAGAAAAAGCCTAAACAAAAGAGAATTTGGGGTATAGTGCAATCTGCAAATGGCTTTGAAATTAAACCAAAAAGGTACCTTTTGGTCACAGAATCA